TGTTCTTCTTCATTGAAGTAGAGAAAAAAATCAAAAGTGCCCGTTTTTTTTGCAAAAGAGTTTATATGATATTAATAAATTGTGAATAAAGTGTAAGAAATCCGCCCGAGTGTCTGCACAATTTTGCACATAATACTGGTACATCGCAATCTCTTGGGCGGCGAAGTGTCGATCGGTCAGGGCAGGTAGAATTGAATGCTATCATTGTATTTTATCCTATAACTAAATTAACAGTTTTCGCAGAGCTAATACTTTAGATTACTTCACACCTACAACTTAATGTTAAATGTAATGTGTACTTGTTATAGATGACGAGTGGCAGTATACGGTAAAACCAAAATTGGTTTTTAGGACACTGTGCAATTATATTGTACCCATGTGCAGTGTAAAATAACATTTATAGGGTTGCCAGTTTCATAAAATTGTAAATAGTTATGTACTTGTTGTCGATAGTTTTATCGATAGATTGTAAAAGAAGATAAATTTTTGCCAAAAATGACTGAATTGTCAACGATAAGACGTTTCTGATGATTACTTATTGCGTTATTGCCTTCTTTATTCTTATTTTGACAGATGGCCTTCTAGTATCGAGATCAATTTCTATTCATATACATTTTGACAAGAATAGCTGGATTTTATTATCTATATTAAATTAAAATGAAAAAGTTAAAAATATGTCCCCTCTTTGTACTTTTCCTAAACATAGTACTAAATACAGTGTATGTTTGTATGTATGAACTTACAAAAATCGACAATTCAAATGAACTTTTGCTCAGTAATTGGATGAATAATGGGTCGAAGATGATTCAAATGAAACAAGTTCAGTTATTTATTCCATAAGCGTGACCAATATTTATTTAGTCGACAGTCGATAGAATATTTATCGACTGCTACCACTAGCTGCTCGCAAGCGGGCCACACTTTTGCGTCATGAACTGTCATTTTATTTCGTTCTAATAAAGACAGATGAAAATTCTGTTATGTTTATAATAAATAAATAAATATCTAGATTTCCTTATCTAAAGACGATGTTCTGTGCCGGAAATGCGTTTTATCTTTTAATTTGATGAAAAGTAAATTTAATTAAATGTTGACTAACGCAATGCAAAAAATTAGAACAATTTTGTGTTCGCCATTTCCGGCGTGAATTTGATAATTTGCAAAATGTTAAGGAAATTTCCTCGACTTGAGATGCCGAAATAAAACATAAAGGAATCTAAATAGATTAAAATATCTTGATTTTCCGAAAATATCTTAATCCGGACAGCTTAAAATAAAAATAAGAAGTAATCCTTTTTGGTATCAATCGTTTGATTGGTTTGAATTATACCTAACTACTCTATAGAATGGGCCTTTTCAAGGCGAGAGTGAATAGGCATTATTTAGGCGTGCATGCTTCATCGTCGACTTCATCGTCACTGTCCATCACGTCAGATAAAGATCAAATGCGCACTTATTTTCTATCTATCTTCAAATAGTGAGTTAGTGACCCTTTTGTGACACTCGTCTGGCACCACATAGAATATCTTTGCATTTAAATGCATATGTCCTTGTTTATGTGAATAGTTTGTGTTTTAATTTAATTTTTTTATGTATTTTGTAAAAAGAAGTTGACGTAAGAACCTCTTCCTTTTATTTTCATTTTTCAATTATTATGGACATTATGATAGCCACCAAGTGATGGGACGAACAATAGTGGACCTGGTGCCTCTCAGAGCCTTTTGAGCCTGAGACATAGGTAAGTTGGCAAGTCCTAAGTGTCTGCAATTACCAGCACCTTTATCCTTCAAAACCAGAACGCAGTAATACTCACATTACTGCTTGGCAGCAGAAATGGGTAAAACGGCACATTGGTACTTCCTTGGACGAAGTCTTCCACAAGGAGCATTCTGTTACAAATAAAGTAAACCATCACAATAATAATTTAGAAAATATTCTTTATTTGAGTTCCCCTATTTAACAACTGTACTGTAAATGTACTTATTAAAAAAATAAATAAAAACAAAGGACTCCGGATTTAAGTAAATTCACATTCAGCAGATCCAATGCAAATAATAATGGGCAGTAAATTTACTAGACCCGAGATCAGCCGGATGGAATGCATAAAATAAATATAGGGCGGCACATTTGTTTTTATATCGCACGTATTCATAGACCGATAATCGGGGACATTGGGTTTAATACCGTCGGTCAGCTGCAGCCTGTTTGTTGTAGAAGCTTTCCTTTGTTTCGCATAATTAGGGAAAAGATCATTGAACTTTAAAATTCGTGCCTTTCGTGTAATAAGGCTACATCTGCAAAACTGACAACTTTTCAGGAAAGAGCTTTAGACATTGTGTGACACAACACACACACAGATCTGTGACACAGATTTATACCCAGTATGGACTCCAGTTTCTTACAAAGGTATTACAGTTAAATTGTAAGTTAGCCATAAGATTATTACTTTAGTGGAAAACATTTGTAAAAAGGCGATAAATCCTTATCCCGATGATGATGGTGATTATTATTATTGTTGTTGTACGAACGAAATTTGTCGATAACTTTTGTTTCATAATATCGAGTGATGGGACGAACGGAAAGGGGGAGGCACTGGATAAACATTTTTACTTTTAACTAGAACAACATAAGAGTGGTATTTCGTTGACATAGCGGTTACCTGTCAATTGAGAAGAGTTGATGATACACTACAATAATCAGAAGTTCAACCTTTCAATTTTGTTTACGTTTTTTGTATATTAGCCTGTTTATTTACTTACTAAATTATAGGACGTTCTAAAGAAAGGCCAGATCAAAAAGCACTGATGGATATTGATATGGCGAAAGATGTGTGTCAGGATCATGGCAAGTGGAAGACCTACCCCGAAAAGGATGTGATATATACGTAAATGTAGAGCGACATCTTCTTTGTCACTCATGCTTGCGTGACGCTTTACTTTCCTCTCTTAATGCCGTGTAAATAAATTAATTTTATCATTCCTGAAGTTCTCAATCGCAATTTCTTCTACAACGAAAACAGGTTAGTGGTTACATTTTGTCAATAAAGATCAATTTATACACGAAAAACGTGAAAGCACTAGATACGATACTAATGCACACGGAAGTATAAAAAGAACATAAACTTAATAATTTATCCTAACTTTTTTTTAACTGGCTCTCATAGTGAAGTGGGGCGTACTTTGCTAACCAGATTCCGTTAAAAGTGATGAAAATGATATTTCATATTTTACAGTCTACAATTTAACTACCAGGACATCAACTATCATAGAGATACTGCATTAGCGCCTCACATGCTTGAAACTAGTAAAAAGCTCTCACGCACAGCCTCTGTTATCCTATTACACGTTGCCCATATAAACGTCTAATTCTTTCCTGCGCACCTCTGCACCCTCTGTTGTCTCTCTCTTGTACATACGCCTGTCTCTCTTTTGAGTGGGTTTCGTACGGATGATGTAGGAATACAGTAGAGATATTGTAGAGTTGACTGAAGGGGATTATAGGTTTTTGTTTTGTTTTATTGGTCTGTTTATTATTAAGGAGTAATTGCCAATAAAATGTGAGGGAAACTTTTTAAAACTACTAGAGACCAAAAGTGAAGTTTTGTAAATATTTTTCAAAGCTTAACTTCTTTTAGGAAATAAAACTATTTTGCGGGTTTAAATCGCGTATGTTTATTTTATAGGTCACGTGGTTATGGCTGACTCGTTCTTTTGACCTGTAAAGGTCCTGAAACATTGATTGATTGAAAAAAAAACAAATATACACGATTTAATTCATTTCCTATGTGGAACTATCGCGAAAATGTTAGAACTAGATATTAACTTCTTTTGTTTAAATAAGGTTATTTTTATTTATTAAGAAACAGGTACTAAAAGAAGAACTTAAATCTAGGCTACCAATAGTGTAACAAAAACCATTTTTTGTTTAATCGTACACCAGCATTCACCATTTCGGTAAATAAATAAAAAGTTACAAACTAAACAAATAAAAAACAATACAAACAAAAAATTATATTAATAATTACGCCAATGTGACTCGTTTGTAATATTAACTAAGTTCTTGCTATTTAAATTGCAAGTAAAATAACAATAAACAAAAATTGAAATAAAAAAATAAAAAATGTGGGTAGCTATACATCCCATCTGCTCTTTCTAGATTCACAATATTCGCAGTGCTTTAATACATCACTCGTTCCAGAGTTAGACATTTTTTTTGTTGGCGTAACACACGGTAGTATCTTGTTTCGTTCTTAATTAAATTATTTACTACACTTTGAGTTATTTAAAAAAAATACTTTAATGTTGTTTAATGTTATGTTCATTAATTTAAGTTTTGCGTTGTACAGGTTGTTCATTTATTAATTTAGGTACTTGAATAGTTAGTAATTGTTTTCCATATAAACTTTTATACTTTGGTTAATAATCAATAATTCAATTTAATCATACACTTTTAACTTTTCGCGGACATTTATATATACTTAGCCAGCAGGCTCTTGCGCATGAAATGTATTATACTGATAGAGTTAATTATTTTAAGTTTCCATGTTTTAAAATAAAATATATTAATTACAATACGTACTTTAAGTCTCGATGTCCTAAAAGAAATATTTAATTACAGTACTTCAATAAGGTTATGACAGAATAATAGTGGCCGTGAGTTCCCCGCGACCGCTGAGTCATAAAACGTTTTGTCTTGTTAAATAACACTGTCTCTGATTTTATTATAAAATGTATTACTGTTTTCAAGACAAATAAATGAGTTTATTATTATTATTTAACACAAAACGTACATTTTATTATAAGTATATTTTTATTTAAAACAATATGTTGCTTAAGGCCACTTTGATTACTCATTATTCACAAAAATCATGCATACGCATAGTACATTCAACTCCTGTATATACGCTCTTCAAGTCGTCTCTCCCTGTAACAATCATTATACTGTGAATTTGATTTGGAGCACTCCGAACGGTGGAGCTCCTAGTTTCGCTCAAGATAGCCGGGCGTGTGGACGTGTTCCTCGTACCCCAACGCCAGTCTCCCGCGTTCCGTGATAATAAAAAATAAATAACATCACAGAATAAAGTACTACAATCTTTTTATTCGGTGCACGCGTATTTAACGAACTGTGTGTTCAATTACTGCAAATGTGGATTACGAATGAACGGTAAGTTTATAAGTGCAAATATTTTCAGGTTTATATACCATTGGATTATTGTTTCAGCGTTGATGATGTTTAATATATTTTATATTTCATTAGAATTTTTTTATAATACTTTTTTCTTTCGTTCTGCCTTTATTTCCTCACAAAAACAATGTTATATTCATACAATATGTGAATAATCTCCTAGCTTTTTCACTAAATGAGAGAGACCATATATATTGAATTTACGAGCATCAGGTGTCTGCTACTCTTTGTAATGAGCATAATAATATCTTTTCCATTATAATTATTACCAAATGTGTTATCATTTATCAACATCATTGTTTACTTCTATCATTTGAGTGTTTGGTTTATAGAGGTTGTCAAAGTAACTCGTATTTCAATAATTGTATAATATAAAATTTGTTAATTATAATTTGAAAGCTATTTACATAAATATAAAGTAAATATTGAATCCTTACTATAATTGAATAAAATGTTTCTTGTAATGAACAACACTACTATCGTAAACATAACATCATTTTGGATATATATGTAAATATAATAGGCGTGACAACTGTCTGGTACTAGGGTAGGCAACGACTATGGACTTCCACTCGCTACGCAAATGGCATACCAATTTCAAGTATCTTAATCTTTTCAAGTACGCCCGTTTATTTTTGTTGCTTTTGACCTGGCCTTTTTTAAGGACATCCTTTATCTAGGTGACATATCGTACGGTTAATACAATAGTCTATTAACTCGAAAAGTGTTCTTTCTCAGAATCAACGAAAAACGAAATACTCGTTTCCCGTGAAAGATAATTAAAATGTATGTATAGGTTATAGTTTCTTACATACAATTTCCTACTTGTCAAATATATTTAAAAATAAAAGAGAAAAAATAATTTTATCTTTTTGAATAAGGACTATTTTGGCCAGAACTAGCTCACATAAAGCGTGTCTAATTTTAAGTTAAGTAGATATCTTTTAGTTGTTTCTTACAATATTCTAAAGACAGTTTTATTGGCGTGTGGAGAATCGAATTTTACGTTCATTATTGGTATAATCTTCAATTTCACATATTTTGAGTTATAACACTATTGTAATAGCCGTGCGATATATACGCCAAGGTCGACCTTTCCCCGCCTTTCTATTCACATTTTCTATATAAATTTGGAATTGAAAATTAAATTTTCTATATGACGAAAACTTTTACAGACAAATTTTTTACAGTGTAACAATATAATTATTTCTTTTTTGACAGTTGCGTGGATCATTAGTTTAATTTCGAGTAACTGGTCAATGTCGGTATGCATGTATTACAGAAGTGCGTTTATTTGTGAATGGAAAAGCCAGACTACCTACATATTTTATTCATATTTATATTGATAATCTTTATAACCCAGTACCTTACTAGTAGTGAAGCTCCTTGTCAATGAGTACGTCCAGGGAAGTACTGCCACTTTTCTTATTTCCTGTTTTGAAGGGTGCTGGTGAAATTATAGGTATTTGGGTCTTGTCAAGTTATGTCTCAGGGTGACAGGTGTAGAGGTAGTGCCTATCAGGCCTTGGCGATTTAAAGATCTAAGTAGCAATGCAACCGTACCTCCAGACACGCGGCTTGTTCACACCATCGCTTGGCAGCATAAAAACCAAATGACAAAGATTGTATTTAAATAGAAAATATCTCTTGCCATGCTAAACACAAAATTATACATACAAGAAAGAATATATGGAAAAAAACAACGAAACAAATATTTTAAATAACAAATTTTTAATTAGCTATTCAATGAGAAGGTCCGGGCTTCGATTCCCGATTAAGCAAAGTTAGAAAACGGATTTCCAAATTGACTCAATTTTTTCTGGTACTTATAGTTTCTGACCAAATAATGATTCGAACATCTCGTATGATTCTTAATTTAAATGGGTGTAGCAAGGTTTATCCATTTTTCTAACATTACCGGTAACATATTTTAATTTTAGTGTCACTAATATTAAATCTTTAATTAAAATCGACTCAAACTAAATTCAGACTATTATATATAATTACAAGACTCATACCGAACCCGGATTCATACCGCGATAAGAAACGTGTAAGTTTTATACTTACTATTATTCAGTAAGCACAAACGTACAATTGAATAATTTAAAAAGTAAAAACGTTAATGTCATTTTTTGTCAAAAGAATTTCCCCACCTGCAAGCTGGTAATTTCGTAGATCCACCAATTTCCGTAGCACTTGTTTGTTCTACGCCACAATGAGCTACGCGGTTACGCAGCCCTATTATTATTATTATCTTTTATCTTTCACCCTTTTTGCTTATTGCTTCTTTTATTGTTATTTGCATTTGTGCTAGGGAAGATTATTTTATTTTGGGTCTCTAAGGGAATTAGAGACCAGCGTATATGAGTTTGAAACGTCCGTTTAATAATAATTATTATAATGTCCTAGACAATTACAATAATTACTTAGTCTCAAGCCAGGTGGTTCCTATTAGCGCCAGAGTAATAAAATTAAATCCAGGGGTAATTTTCATTATCCAGGATACCGAGATATAGTAATAGTAATAATTAAATAAGTTAATGTACTAACACACTCATTGTTTTCATATTTAATTATTATTATAATTTTCTCATCTAAAACTACCTGCTGTTATTTTTAAGTAACCTACTACACATTTCAATTACTTATCGAGTTCTTAGGTTTTCGCGATGGTTGGCCCTTTACTGGTCCCAGGGTCACGGTTGACTGTGGTGGTACAGTCATCAACCAGTTATGTCTAATATTAATGCAAACCACCCTATTTTTTCACTATAGTTACAAAAGTTATTAATTATATACCTTATTTTTAATTTTACAAAGAAACATTCCAATGTACGCTACATTATGTTTTACAAATTATTTTATTTTAACAATATGAATTTTTATTAAGTTAAATTTATTATTAATGGAAATTAGAATAAACATTTTAATTAGTACTGCAGTCTTATGTCAGAAACGATGATTAGTTTGAAAAAACGAATATACGCAATTTAAATCCGGAAAAATAGTTTCATTTCCTATTGCCATTACTATTTATCATAAAACAACTTTAATTGTGTATTCTGTTTTACGATTAAATTGTAATTGGCTTTAGTATAGCATATACTAATATTTTGACTGTAATAGACTATTCTAGAGCGGTGAAAGCACAGTGTGAAAACGGTTCCTTCAATTGAGAAAGTTTACGATTCGGATCCCCGTAGTGGCATGTACCAATGACATTAATTTCTAAGTTAAGAATTTTTATGAATGTTTGGCAACAACAACCCTCGCTAATGCATGAAAACTTTTTAATTTTTTTTGCATCAACTTTGTACGTCAGATAGTTCTCTATAAATCCGCTAGATGGCACTGACCCTTTTTACTTAATTTCTGCATCGCGTTGTTAACATTTTTCCTCGAATGGTGACTTTTTCAACCGAATTTTATTTGTGTGTGAGAAACATCAGAATTGTCGATAAGTTTCTAGGAGTTGAGTCCTTGTAGAAACGATTGCCTGGACCTATCTGATAGCTACTTTTTATACTTTTTGCTTTTGAAGTCTTTACTGAAATTGGTGACGTCACCAAGTACTAAATCGAACGCCCTTCTACAGTGTTTATTAATTAATATTATTAGAAGTTATTCGAAATTCCTTTTTGGTAGTTTTCCTAACATATTCCACTACTCCTAGAAAGCGTTAATTGGAAATTTAATCTTAATATCAACGGAATCAGTAAAATTGCATGAAAGCTCTGATTTAGGGCGAAGTTGTTAATTAAAATCTGTTTTGATCAAAACTCCGCGATATTAACATCTTACGTATTCTAATTAACTAAATACTTGCTATATTATAAAACATATGTTTGATTTTTTACGAGTATTTAAATCCCAACATTAACAGACAAAAAAGTATTAATTTCATTTTTGTACAAAGTTGAAAGCACTTTGATTTTGGTTTGGGTTAAAGAGCTCTCAATATTTACCTGGGGCTCAAATTAATCTACATATATGTATATACGAGTATACACATAAGACTCTAGACGGAGGTCATGAACCCCCAGTCGCTACGCGCTTGCATTAATCATTGAACATATGCCCATTTATTCAGTATACTTTTTTATTTATTTCTTTAGGGTATACACAAAATAAACAGAGACAATACAAAGGCATAGTGAAAGGTTAGGTAATTAAACTTACAGCATGAAACGCCAAATATAAACAACAACCATCATTGGCGCCACAGCTACAACTACAACAATTCCTTTCGGAACTACAGCACAACTTTTTAAAATACTATTTCAAAACTTTCAAAGCCTAAATAACAAACAACACATACTTGAAGCTTTCATTGACAAAGACTACACATATCAAGCCATATGCATTGGCGAATCCTGGCTGACTCAAGAAAAACTAAATTTGATGCAATTCAATGGTTACAAAATTGCATCATCCTATTGCCGTAAACACCGCGGAGGTGGAGGAGTATGTATCCTGTTACAGGACTCCATCGAGAGTATAGACAAAACAGATATTACAGATTTGTCAATTGAGTCTGTTATAGAGGTGTGCGCAATTGAATTGCCTAAACACAATATCTTACTGCTGAGTGTATACTGGAATAGAAATGAGGAGGATATGTTCTATAGTCAGTTAAAACTTATTTTGAATTATGTAAATTGTAAATATTCAAAATTGAACATTGTACTGGGAGGCGACTTTAATATAGACATCTTAGACAACAACTTAAAAGCTAAACAATTTTTAAATCTCATGCTAGAATATAATTTCACAAACTACATTAAAACACCTACGCGCGTTACGCAAACCACTTCAACATGTTTGGATCTAATATTTGTTAATTTCAAAAATACAAATTTTCAAATGACCGTGCAGGATTTAGGTTTTTCCGATCACCTCGCAACTATTATGCAAATCAAATTGGCGAAACAAACTAATAAAAAAATAACTTGGTTTACCGAAAAAAGAATGTATACTAA